TAATCTCTTCAATTACACCATTAATTAATAAAATACGACAAATAAATTTTAAAAAAGATAGAGAAAAGTTAAGTAGTAAAAAGAGGAGGAGGAGAGAGAGAGGGAGAGAGAAAAAGAGGAAAAAAGAAAGATGAGCAAAAATCAGTTAGTAGTTTTTGACGCAACATACAGCATTCTCTTCACGAACTTCACAAGAGCAAAAATTTTTAGGATGAAGGAGCAAATACGATAGTGATGATGATAACGATAGTGAAGATAAAGCTGTTGGTAGAGTTAATTGAGGATCTATTCAAGTCGCAATATTCTAAATCAACGGCTTGCTTCACTTCTAACAATCCTTATCAATCAATCATCTGTTCCTATCTAGACAGAAAGGAAAATTTTAAAGAAAGCAACTAATCCATTCCATTCCATATATAATAATAATAATTAATAATAATCAATAAACAATAAACAATAATAATAAACAATGCAAATATGTTAATAATAATACAAATATAATAATAATATAATATAAATATAATAATAATATAATGATCAAATATCATTATATTATTACAATAATTTTTTTCCGCGATAGATTTTTTTCAAATTGATAATTGATATTTTTATTTTTAATCGTATCTATCAAAATGTTAATATTGCTTTCCAGAAGTTTCTTTCTCTGTGATTATTTATCGGTTTAGCCTTACATATTGGTTACTGTAGGTATAACAATAAACAATACCAATCAATTTATTCTTTTTGAGAATAAATTAGGGATTGAATTAGTGCAAACAATGATTTAGGCATGTAAATATGGTAAAATTAAATATTCATAAGGTAAATTTAAAAAGAAGCAAATTTGAATGTTAATTAATTTAATACTTTAAGATTTCTATGCTCGATACATTGAATTGTTCTTTTTAAAAAAGATGCTTGTTATTGCTAGAATATAAAATAAATAATTAAGTTAAAGTATTACTAATCGTACAAATTGATAGTGTTTTAATTTTTGGAATATTTTTAGTTTACTTTACTACTATGTAGATATTTTGAACTTACATCCTTACACAGCAATAAGTAACATACAGATACCTTTGATAAATTGAGTTTAATAATCCTACTACATACAAGCACAAGAATATTGTAGAATATAAATAATATCTAAAATTTCCATATGAAATATATTTTATTTTTTAATCTCATTATCGGTTTGTACCCGAGATTCTCATTTCAAGAAACAATGACAAAATAAGATATTTTAAACAAAAATAATGAATTTCATTAGCATATCTGATCATTATTATCATTATCATATGAATCGTTTATTTGTCCGGTGGCAACTTTTGCTCATTTTCATTATCCGTGGCTTCTTAAGAGTAATGTCAAGGATCACTTTCTTTACATAACATTTGGTATAATCTATTTCATTACATTTGCCGTTTGTCTTCTTCAGCAATATTTCCTCGGAATTCCTTCCATATGACTCACTGATGATTTGAGGAGAATTAACGGAATGAGCAAGTTACTGCAAATCATTCGTATCTTAGCTCATTTAAGACGCCAATTGCTCTATCACCTCTGATTGATCAGCAAACGAAGGAAATATTCTGTAAAGTTAATCTGATCGAACAATCCGGTTCACATCATTTATCCAATAGGTTTACGTTTGAAAGATTTGTCATAACAAATTTTATTTTATCTTAGATTAATTTCATTCATTATATTTTAAGAATTATCTCATTACAATGAAATAAAAAAGAAATAAAACACATAATTAATTGACCCCAACCTTGGCTCCTTATCATTATCACTGCTCAAATACTTTACAAAGATTTAGGGCAATTTATAATTGTCTTCCATTATCAACGACCAACCAACCCATTAGCTTGTGTTATTGACTAACATTTGTTAAGAAATTTTAAGCTGAAAATTCAGCCAAGTGTTACACTTCTTCAACAATCTTAATTATCGATGAATTAACAAAGGTATAGAATTTGTCTTGAACCCATATAGAATATAATAAGCGTTATGTCCAAAAAATTTTGCATAAACTTCACCTTTTCCATTTCTGACACTTATTGATCTCAAAATGCTTTTGTTAATATTATAAACTATGCTAAAATGATAATTTCATCCTTAAATTTGTAGAAAAGAGTGAAAATATGGCAAACAATAGATATCAGTACGTCGTTTTTACCTTTCTTTGCTTTTTTTACTTTTAAAAATTTCTTGATTTATTTAAAAAATCATTTGCATGCATGCAAAATGTAGTAATTCCGCTGAAACGATTCATTTTATCAAATGATATCTGTCGTAAATATCATTTTCAAGCATTGAAGTTGTAAGATAGACATGAGAGACATTACATTTATTTGAAACAATATAATTCCTAACGATGGTAAAAACTTTTATCATGCATTACATAAAACTTTTGCCAATGCAGATTTGCCCGGCATTTCTGAAATTCATAAAAATATTTAAACAACGATGATTCGTTTAAAAAAATACCTTCTGAGTTTTTCGCTTCATTTGTGGCAACATCTACCTCATTATGCTCAAATTTCAGATCCTATTGAAATATTCTCAAGTAAAAACAAGAAAACACTAAATTCAAAGATCTCAGTTACTAATTATAATTAATGCTAATTGGAGAGAGAGAGAAAAAAAGCATCTCTGAGATTTTATTAATAATTAGCTTTTAACACATGTATATTTTAAAAAATATATCACAAAGACAATCATGTGTTGACCAAAAAAGAAAGCTTTAAATTCAACATATGTTGAAGAGGGAAACGAACGGCGTGATATCATAGAATTCTTTCAATTTGTATACTTCATCTTTTTATCTTTTCTTTTATTATATTTAAGCATATTATCAAAGCCTGTCATCCGTTGAAATAATAGCAATTTAGGAAGGAATAAGAAAAGGAAATAACAACTATAAGGGAAGAAGCACCCGACATATTATATGTACTTCAACATTTGCTACAATATTGAAGCAAAATTCAGGAAAAGGGGAGAACGAGCACGAAAAATATTGCTCAAAAAAATCCGAATATATAAAATAACATTAATCATATTTTATAACAATTTTATTGATAAAACTTAAAAAGTTGTAGAAAATTGGAATTTCAAAGTTACTAAATGAAGGATTAAAATTGGAATAATTCAGATTCTGCGTGGTCCGTTCAGAGTATCATTGAAAATTGCAATATTCTGTGCAAAAATGTAAAAATTCAATTTGCTATTTTTTGCTTGCAACTTGCAGTTTAAGTGCACAAAACATGAAAATGACAAAAACTTTTATTAAAAGTAATATTTGACATGAAGTGACCCGATGGTATCACAGCATTTAAAATACTTGAGTTAAATTTTCAAATGAGACAACAAAATTCTTGAAAGCGATCATGGAAAAGAAGGAAAGAAGAGAAATTGGCATTCTCCTAAAAATTTTTAAATTTTACAGTTTCAAAAACAAAATCCCTTTTTTGCATATTTTACAGTTTTTGACATATGGAATAAAGAAATTTGAAAAACTGAGCAAGTGCTAGAAATAAAAAGTAAAGCTCAGGTAAGCATAACTTATCCCGAAACTTATTAAATTTAAATAATTCCAAAGAAAGAAGATTGGTTGCGGCTAATTATATTAAAAAATATACTTTTAATAACATGCAATTTTTATTTTTGCTAATGTCAGGACATTCTGCTGAATGTGCCATATTTGTAACTATTCAGAAATAAAAGCTTTTCGAAAGATTTCAACAAAGTGAAATTTTATAGAAATGATATCTCATTCTAGTAATACAAACAAATATGATAATTAATATTACAAACTTACTTTAGCTTTTTTGAGAAATCAAAAATCACAGTGACAGTATTTTGTCTAATAGTCTAATAACATAAGGACTATCATTTATCGATGTTATAAAAAAAAAAATTTTCTACTTTATAAATTTAAAATCTTATAAATATAAAATCTTATAAATTTTATAAATCTTATAAATTTTCTCTACTACATATTGAAAGAAGTAATTCCAATTTTAGATGGCAAATATAATGAATGGTTCGGAATGATTTAATAACTGATATTACACGCTTGTCTAGCAATTCATGTTTAGGGCGAACAAGCAAGTACAGTAAAGTCAGGTAATATAATTTACGATAAATTGCGAAGTGTGGGAATTTACAAAAGTTTGCAAAGCTGTCAGGAAGGAGGCAATAATCATCATAGTAGGATAGTTCTCGATGATAATTGATATATGCATTCTCATAGAGTATACTTGAACCGGAAAAGAGCAGATCGGTAAATCTAAAATTGTAAAAATGTGTCATCTTACTTCCGGGGTAACTTTCGAAACTTCGATTCAATTAAAAATAAAATTTCTTCTTTTAAAGCAAACATTTATTTCAACAACAATCGAATTTCCTCTTCAAATCTTTTACTATTTTTCAACAATAAAATCATTGGGAACAAATGTGAATGGTTTTATTGCTGCTCGTTTACAACAAATGTTGTAAATTCTATGAGTGAAACTTATCCAGACGCTATAAACTTCTTATTTAAAATACATCAGATTTAATTTGCAAAGATAAACGCATATCGCTTCGTTAATTATTGAAGAAATTAGGGAAAAATAAATAAATAAAGAATATCAATCAATCGTCCTCATAGAATGGAACGAAGTTCATTCCTTCTCATTTAAATTCATGTACAGAAGAGCTGCTGATAACAAATAAAGAATATGATTTTGAAGAAAAAAATCTAAAAGCTTCCAATCTCGAACATGTTTTTTAAGGATTGTGCAAGAATTATGTGGAAGATTCTGAATAGAGCTTTGAAGGAAAGAATTCAGAAATGGTTGTTATAAACAATTATGCCCTATAAGAAGCTTCAGATAATAACTCTATTGAAACATAAAACGAGTTTCACCCGAAAACGGAAATTCATAAAAAGTTCGATAGATTACATATCAAAATCATAAGCAAATAAGAAATTGAAATAATATATATGAAAATTAGTACACTGGTTTATACTTCTTTATTTCTACCATAATATGATGAATATTGACTAGCTCCTTTAGGACAGTATTTTCTGCAAATACCTCATGTGATAATACCTTGCTAAATCGATGGTAATATTGAACTATTTGTGTGAATGTTACCTGCAATATACAATCGCATTACGGATACAATTCACAAAAAAAGCAAAAAAATAAGCAAATAAAAGAATTAGGAAGAATATACTAACCTGCAAAATGTTAGTACCATTTTTGAAATTTGCAAATGAACGAACAATTTCGTGGTTTACAGCGTCTATCGATTTTTTCCAATTAGCGCAAAAATTGCGCACAATTTTTGTTACATTGTCTAAATTGCACGTACTACATGATAACAAATATATGAATCACGGATATCAAAAACTGAGTTTTATTTATTTATTTACTTTTTGCATAAAGTCAATAAAATAGGTATATGAAACAATCATATTGAGAGGCGCCGACGATGTATTTCTCTTTTTCCTCCACTCCTACTTCAATAAATACAGCACTACTAACAATCAAATCATTCTGCAAAGGAATATTGCAAAGATGTCTTACCCGAATAACGAATTAAAAGCTGCTTGTGTCCCTGTTCAATCAGTGGTTCACATTCATTGACAAATGACATTAGATCACCAAAATGGGGTCGAAGTACCAATTCAACATATTCATTGATACGATTCTGTTTCAATTCCCAGACTGATGATTTTTCTTTCGAATCAAATGTCACCCGTTCCTGTTATCATCGTGATTGTAACATAAGAATACGAATACATATCACAAATACATAAAGAATACATAAGAATACATATCACGATGAACAGTATGATAAATTAAGCATAATTAACAATCAAAGAAAATAGCAAACCTCAAGAACACTGAGGATCAAATCATAGTTATTGATGAGACAAACTAGTCGCTGTAAGCGAGGAGTTAGTTGTTCTGCAATGCGCGTTAGAAAATTTTCGATCTCGACTTGCTGCTTACTCAAATAAAGCTGCAAAAATTTGATTTCAATATAATATGTTAAAGAAGAGTTTTTCATGTTTTTAAGATTTATTTATCAAGCGAGAGAAGAAAACTAAAACAGATTGAAAAAAAAAAAGATAAGACAGAGCACCTGCAATTTTGGATCAATCTGGTGTATCAACGTCTGACTGCAGACCAATAATGCACAAGTGAATTCCGCATAACGTCTTATAATCTAAAACATAACTAAGATCAAAAAATATATTATATCTATATATGAATAATATAATCTAAAATATAACTAATATATATATTAGTTATATATATATATTAGTTATATATATATAATATTGATTTATGAGAAGATATAAAAATTATACAGAGAGTAATAATAATTAAATATTAAAAGCGCACAAAATTTAAAGCTAACATAGTGTGGATGAGTATCTGGTTGCAGTTGCATTTTATGTACGTCAAGATCACGTAAGCTTGAATTATGCAACCCCATAACAACATCAAAACGATGCCACAACGCACAGTTTAACGTCTCCCAATAACTATAATTCAGATTTTAGTTCAATTTCACTTCATGAGAGCTACTAGTCTACAACAAATATTGCATTTCATAACTAAGGTACAACTAACAATCAATACCTCTCCAAAGCTGGAACTCCCCTTTCAATCATTAATTCTTTGTATTTTGAACATAGACCAATGCATATATATAGTGATATAGCATCATAATTAGAAGATATATGCTCTTCGCATGATTTCTAAAAGAAATAAAATGATTCGAATAAAAATTTAGGAAACTAATTGCTATAGTACAACTTTACTACTTATAAAAAAATTGTACGTTTAAATGCTAACCAATAAGGTAGTTATTGTACGCATCATAATTTCGCTGAAAACCTCAAATGAAGTTTGTCCACTGATCATGAAAAAGTCCGATATAAACAAATATTCGCGTGAGGAATGATCCACTAGTGCAAATTGCAAACTTCGAAATAAATTCTCAAATTGAAACTGCAATTTTGTCTAATGAATAGAAAAGCAACTGCTGAAATTGTATAAAAACATTTATGAATTTCATATATTGATACAAAAAGGTTCTACAGACAACATATATCGATACACCGACAGTTCCGTTTACCACAACAATTGAACAACAAACCCGTTCATTTAATTGTTGCGCTGCATGCGGTACAATAAGTGGAGACATTAAATCAGATGATAACAAGCTATCTCGATTACCCAGAGAAAAAACGGTTGCTCGATTCCGCACCTCCAATAATTGGCATATCAATTTTTACGTATTATAATAAAATTTTAGGAAGATTATAGTGCCAAAAAAACCGAGACGTAATAACTGTTAAAAAATAAGATATGACGGATGATAATTAAAAACTTTTTTATTTTAAAGACCTTAATTAAAACAAAAACAGATTTTTCCGCATGCGGTATCAAAACCAACATACTTGAGATTTTAAACTGAAAATACTAGTTGCCTTCATCGTATTCTCTGCGCCCAAAAGATCATCTTTGGTGGCTACATCATCCAGCTGAAATTCTCATGGATATTTTCTGCTTATGATAATCCTATGGCAGATTGCGATGTTTAAGAATTACAAGCAATAATTACCGCCGATTTTAATTAATGTCAAAAACAATAAGAAGGATCGTGGCACTAATCTTACCATTGCATTTTATAAATTAAAGGACAAAAAGGCATTGGCATTGAATTGACATGAAAGACAAACCAATAAGCGGAACAATCTGGACGCGTATGTTTTAAAGTAAGTGAAAAACATTTTACTGATAACATTAACGTATTCATCCCGAACCTAAATAAAAAAATTTACAAAAATATTCAACAAAGACATAAACATTCATTATTCATAATCAAAACACTATTTCTTATCAAATTTTCTTAGCTATATTTTATTTCCATTCCTTTCGAATCACGTAATGTGAAATTCTCATGTCATGAAGTTGATACCAATAATACTTACTTCTCGAGCCAAATGTCTGTCATTTGCCAGCAAAAATTCGTAAAAGAACCTAGAAACTTCAGTAAGATTTTCATATGAATATACCATTTTAATATACAAATATACGATTTTAATATATATAATTAAACAATTTCTGAGAAATATTCCTTGGAATTTTATAATTTTTAAGCGACTTCTCTAAATAATATAATAGTAATAAGCCAATAAAATAATAAGATTAGAACTAAATAAATTTATTCATAGCAATAACCAACCGATTTTTAAGAAGTGCTCCTTGTGGAATTTGATAATTTGTTAGTGGTTTCTTGAAAGATGAAATCTTTAAAAGCAGCCATTCTCTTACCTTAGCCATTGCCTAAATTTTTCATCAATAAGCGCTCTGTTTCAACCCGTGTCATAAAGATTCAATCATTTAAATTCAAACACAACTTACCTTGTATTTCAAATTCTCAATAACGTCATGCACATCAGAAGTAGCTTTTGCGTCATGGAATTCTTGCGTTTTGAGGAATTGCAGTTTATGTTGAAGTTCGTGGAGCTGCTCAAGAAATTCACGTTCGCCAACGTCTCGCTCAACGATTATTCTACAATATGTAAATGGAGTCAGTATATCCGTGTCAACAAATCAGATGAAGTCGAGGATAAACCCTACGAGAAAAAATAAACAAGCAATAAAATAAAAACAAAAACCTGACATCAATAAATAATCTAGTTCTGTGTTGTACTCCATAAATCTATCCAAAAATAAATATCAGAAAATCAGTGAAAACCTGACTAAGTAACTAATGAAAATGGATTGCCACAACGTTAGATATTAATCCGAAGGTCTTCCATATTACGAATTCAAATAGCATAAGAAAAAAGCACTGACTGTATCATATTCTGAGATACAACCATGTCATCAACAAATTGGCTCAATTCTCCTCGAATTTTTTGTCGATTTTGCAATTGTTGACTAATATCGACTGACTGCTGTTGCAGTCTTTTCATGTCTGAACTAATTGTGCCCAGTTCTGATTGAAAACTTCGAAGCATCCCTTCCAGTTGCTAAATTAATCGACAAGTTTTTTTTCTATTATGAGAATGAATATGCGAATTAGAAATGAACAGTAAATCAATTTGTGATAAGTAATGATATAAAAGAAGGGAAGGCAAGCTCTGCATCAGTCATGCTTGACATATGGTCTAAAAATCTTCTTTCAGCATATTGTAAAATAAACGTATTGAACTGCACCAAAATACTGTTCTCACAGATGTAATAACAACAAGATGAATTTTACCGCAAATGCATCGTCACATGCGGTGATTTCTTCATGTAATTCAGCAAGTTTCTCTGCTTGATCGATACAATCTTTCACGGCAAGTAAATGAGCTGATCGAAGCTGTTCTTGCAATTCCGCTGAATATTGTCGTAAATCAGTACCCGATTCGAGAGCTTTTCGAATTGATATATCGTCCAACTGGAAAGTGCAAATATATTTCGATGCGGAAATTTTTATGGTGAAGATACAATTAAAACAATCAAGATTATGTCTAATATACATTTATTCGATTTACGAATTCAGTGCCTATTTTAGCCAAACTTGCAGTAAACGAGACATTTCTGCATTAGTAAAGATCTAAACAGCTTAAGTTAGAATGCATATTCTAAAGATCCTAAAAAACAATTATAACAGGAAATAAGTTACTGTTATTCAACTCAGACATTTTTGCCAATAGTGGTCCTTTGTCTATTTTCATCATTACTACTTTTATTTAAGTTATCATAATTTAAGTCTCACTTTACACTATACCACTATCACAATTCACTAAGTATGTCATTCTTATTGGTCAGATACATCGTTATTTTTTGCGTTCATTTAAATAATGTTACTTCTGCAATTTAATTAAGACTTTCAAAGATAGTGTGAAAGATTGATAACAATTTGCGGAGAATTGTAAGATTTGAGTTGAACTCACACAATCGCAATGAAAGACCATTCACCATCATTTGAATACCTATTCAGGCTCCACATATTTTGTTACTTTAGTATTTCAATGGCAAAATCTAAGGTCAATCGCTTATATGAATTAAGTTATATGGATAGACCAACATCAGGGGAGAAAATACGGATCGCTACGAGTTTAATTTATCTGTTAGAATTAGCAGAAAGAACTTAATGAAAGAAAACAACAAACAAATCCGCAGTCTGTTTCTTTGAACCCTTGTTAACGATTATAACGATTAACCCCAATGTCGTCGCTGATATCAATAATGTCGCAATCCTCCTTCATCCCATTATTATTCACTAGGTCCTTCTCAAATTTCTTCCAAATTCTTCAGTGTTGAAGAACTATTTTTTCACCAACTTTTCAGACTCAAAATGCGACGAAGTATAATTAGTAAGCCTGCAAAATTACATACATGCTAAAGGGAATATTACATCGCATCAAACATTATAAATGTAATCCATCACTCTTAGTCATACACCCACATATTTCTATAGAAGTGACTGATCACAAATTACATCAACATGCTATCATCTAATTTCCATTCAACTTTAGATAATTCAAACTTCTAAGATCTTTTCTATATTCATATTACTATTCAACAGCGATTATACCGAACTGTCCATTCATTATAGGCTGACTACATTTAATGAGGAAATAATGTCGAAGGACATATATATATATATATATACGTTCTATGGTCGGCAAAATCATTAAAATTTGCCTATGTTTAATGATGCAACTCCAATATATAATTCAATGCCAGCACCTTAGATTTTGCATCCCTATAAGCTTATATGAAACCCAATATTATCAAAACAAAGAGTAGAAGTAGCAAATAATGGTCATCTTAAATGCATATAAAGGTTGAAGTTAGATTATGAAATTGGCAAATAACAGTGCTTCAATTTCTGCTGATAACAGTACTTCAATCGTACATGCAGTTCCTGCCTCAAACGACAGCCACTGAAGCAGAATATTATATTTCAGTTATAACCACAAAAAAATACAATCATAAATATAATAAAAATCATATACATAAAAATCACAGACCACAGAACACAGAAGACGCATTGCACATAACAATGGATTGAGCCTAAGATTGTTTATGTCACGAGTTCTATCTAATAAAGTCCTTTAGTAATCAACTATACATTTTATACATTTTAGGAAAAGTAGAAAAGATAAGAAAAAAATACTGAAGACTGAAACATATTTATAATGCTAGAGTTCAATAAGATCGGATCATCGGTTGAATCCAATCTGTCTCTTTCTTATCCAGTGTCTGGTCGATTACCGGTCGGTAAAGCAAAGTAATCTAAAAACAGAATTTATTGCGCCTTGAACTAAAAAAGTGACATTAAGGAAAAACAGAAAATTCGAAATAATGCAAAAAATGGCACAATCAGGAAAAAACTAAGCAAAATTAGATTCAGACCACTTACATGCCGAAACAGTTCCCCTTTTCCCTTGCATTTTACAAGCCTAACACTTTTTTAATATATCTCTTACAGTGAACATACTATATCACCTACATGTATCGAATCACCTACCTTTCCAGTCTCATGATTCTGTTCAATGATAGTATGCTTGCGCCAATGTTGATCGAGTGGCTTTTTAGTTTGACTAGATATCGGTTTCGAATAATCAAATTCATCTATTCGTGTCTGAAATAAAGAAAGTAAATTTGTACACTAGCAGATATAAATAAATGTTCAAAAAATCATTCAAACAATATAACTAACAGGGAAATCATCTCGAGCATGTGCTCCACGACTTTCTTTTCTACCCTCCGCAGCAACGATAGTTTGAGTCGCATTTAACATCAAATTTTGTAGTTCTAGTGTTTCAGCAAGATCCGAATTCCATACCAATCCGCGATCTGTTGTTTTAAGGAGTTTTTGTTCCTTGAAAAGAGTTTCCATTTTTGTAACACCTTCCTGCAATTTTGTTAGTGATGCGATATTTTAACGCAAATTATGTAATCACTTCACAATCGTAGGAACATCTTCCATATTATTCAGTTTACTGATAACCTTTGATGACATTCTTTATTCTTAATCACTTACCTTCAAAATGTCACCGCGTCGGAATACAGCTGCATGCTGTTGCATCGTCTTTTGCATTTTCAATCTTAGAGCGGCAGTAGGAATGTCACCTTTGGCAAAGCGCAACTTGTCGATATTTGCAATGGTTGATTCACCCGCACCTTTGGGTAAGTCAGGAATCTTCTCAGGTGATTTTTTGGCTTTCTCTAGAATACTGCAAACCAGAGCATTATGAGCATTATAAACGGTAATACAAATACTCAACATATATGTCTATAGCAAGCTGAACAAAAAAGTTTGAAAAAATTACTCTATAGCACATGCACGTCCGAAAACGACAAGATCGAGTAAAGAATTAGCTCCCAAACGATTTGCACCATGCACCGAATGTACTGCTGCTTCACCGCAAGCATACAATCCTGGCACCAACTGTAATTTCATACATTCCCGCAATCATTCGAAAAGCAAGTAATGGAGAGGATGAAACCAAGCAGAAAATGAACAAATGAATTTACAATCTGTTGAAAAAAATTTCACCTGATCACCTTTATCGCGCTTGTAAGTTAAAACTTGTCCCATATAATTCGTTGGTATGCCACCCATGTTATAATGAACCGTTGGCAAAACAGGTATTGGTTCCTTTGCAGCATCCACACCAGCAAAGATCATCGCTGTTTCCATAATACCTATAGACGATGAATAACGCAATAGTTGTAGTTTCAAAGCAACAAAATTTGATTTACTTGACAAATTTAACTGATTTTTTGAAAAAAACTGCAATTAATTCCAGATAATTTTTTAATAGGATCAATAACTGCGAACGGTTTAATGATTATGCAGTTTAATTTCAAAATATGGTGAATAAGATACGGTCTTCCAGTAACAATTATGATGTGTTACTCCGAAAGATTAACATTTTTTCAAACCACGTACTCGAAACGGATCTTCAATTAAGCTGTCGAAGTTTTGTTTTGAAATTGATCTAACCTGGCAACCTGGCATGCAAATCTTTCGCAGGTAAGTGGTGCAACTGCAAATAAAGATGATCTTTCTCCTTCCCGACACCACGACCTTCTATGATTTCAACCGTCATTGCTCGCGATACGACATCTCGTGAAGCCAGATCTAACGCATTCGGTGCATACTTTTTCATAAAGCGTTCACCTTCACTATTCACCAAGTAGCCACCTTCACCTGAAAACACTATCTCATAAAAAAACAGGTTTTCTTAAATGGTTTTTCAGTGAATCATTCATCTAATGAAATCCTCAATTTACACAAAATATTACCTCTAGAGCCCTCAGTGATGAGGCAACCAGCACCGTAAATCCCAGTTGGATGAAACTGAACAAATTCCATATCGGAATTTTGCAGTCCAGCTCGTGTAATCATTGCCGTACCATCACCAGTGCATGTATGTGCAGATGTACAACTAAAAAAAACCCGTCCATATCCTCCTGTTGCGACTACCGTATTTTTCGCACTGCAAAGAACACTCAATACCACATTATGCTTTGCTAATTCAATACATATATTAAATATCCCGTGGTCCAGTAACACGAACTCATAAAAGCTTAAAACTTACCGGAATCGATGTATGCTTCCATCTTCAAGGTCCATAGCAATAACACCAACACATCGTCCGTTGTCCATTATAAGATCAAGAGCGAAATATTCGATGAAATATCGACAGTTGTACTGGAGCGACGAACCATACAGCGTATGCAACAATGAATGTCCTGTACGATCAGCTACGCAGCATGTCCTTCAATTATAATTTGAATGAAAAAGAAAAGCATTAGCATTGCATGTCAAAGTGTTTTATTCAAAGAATACTAAATATATTTAAGCGAAGAAATGAAACTTACCGACGAGCTAAGCCGCCTTTACCGAAATTGTTGCTTTGTCCACCGAATGAACGCTGATATATCTTACCCTCTTCCGTTCGTGAAAACGGCATACCATAATTCTCCATTTCAATAACAGCACGAACCGCTTCGCGAGTCATGTAATGTATAGCATTTTGATCTCCCAACCAATCACTTCCTGCAGTAATAAGTAGAACAGCTTACATTAATACCAAAATTATATCATGTTACCGAATCAAAAATGCAGTTCAGCTAATAAATTCGCTTCACTGTAATAATAATACCTTTAACAGTATCGTAGAAATGCCATCGCCAGTCATCAGGATTCATGTTACCTAAAGCTGCATTAACACCTCCTTGAGCAGCAACAGTATGGGATCGTGTTGGAAATAACTTTGTAACTACTGCAACCTTCTGACCACCTTCGCTAAGACCCATAGCAGCCCGCAAACCAGCTCCACCTGTGAAATTAAAGACAAACGTAACTTATCCATCATAATAATTTATATACTGTATGAGTCTTATTTCTGCATTGAACTTTTCATTGGCGCCAGATAAAAAGTACAGATGATACCTGCATCAAGGTTAGAATTCCGAATCAATCCTGATGGCGTTCAAGTGTGATAATGAGCATTTTATACGAATATTACGAAAGAAAAAGACAACCAACCAGCTCCAACGACAACCGCATCATACGCATGATCCACAATGCGATATTTTGCAATATTAGACGTCGTTGTTTCTCTACGCATCGCCGATAACGAAAGTGCTCTTTGTTGACATGTTTGCGTCACCAAACAACGGACCGCACCCAGCATCCCTATGGTGAAGTATTCATCAATTTCTCTTACATTTTCCAATCACACATTTCGACCTTATAAATTATTTTTCCGATACTGTTCGATAATTCAACTTTATTAGAATTTAATTTCAAAACTGACTACTGATCTAATCGTACTAACTCATTGCATCGGTGATAATTTAATCTATGCGAAAAGAAAAAAGGTTATTTATCTCCTACCTATGAATAATTCCTTTCAATAATAAATTCATTAAAGCAAACAAGTCATTGATGTAATGAACGAAGAGTACTTTTCAAAATTGTACCATTGCGTTATTCGGAATGTATTTAGAGAGAGAGTTATTTGATGGAAAGATCAATTAATTACATCCCTTTCTATGTCACTTCTTATATTTCTTTCATTAACAGTGTCATTTTTCAGCATATCTAAGATAAATTTCCAAAGTTTATTTTCAGATTATTCCTTATCATTATTTATAATGATGATAACTTTTACAAAACATTTGTTATTCATTATAGATAATTTTCCATTTACTCTAAATCCAAGAAATGAAAGGATGAAATCTT